TGTTTATTTTCCGTGCCATATCCATTCAACCTCACATTTCCCCCTGTTCATCCATCCCTGCCTGCAGTAGTACTTTACACTAAACCATAGTGGACTTCCAGCTTTATGTAAACGGTTTGTGTTTGTCACTTTTCTGTTTCAGGCATAAGCAACTGTTTTTCACTGTAAACGTTTACAGGACTATATTGTGTCATCCCACATCACAAAACACAATCCAGTCTTTACAAACCTTCAGTATATTATCTGTCACCATGAATGAATATAAACAGTCTATGCTTATTATTATTATTATTATTATTATTAAAGATTTTTTTCCATAAGTAATTTTGTTGTTCCCAACATAGTTTTTTTAGGGTTGCTTCTTTTTTTTTTTTTTTTTACAAAAAACATGACAGAAATATATCATAAAACTTTTTCTCGTTTTATATTAAATATGTACTTTTATAATTTGAATATATATAATTATGTAAATTTTAATAATGTTATTTCTTTCATCATCATTTCTTTTCCTTTAGTTTAAACAAAATTTTTCCAAAACTTTATTTAACTTTTCAAAAATACTTACAAGTTATACAAAAATAAAATCTACAAGGCTTTGTTAAAAAATTATAATAATAAAAATAAAAAGAATAAAAAAAAGACAGATAAGATTAATAAGATTAAAACAAATAAATAAAACAAATAAATGCAAGATTACAAATCAAGGCATCCTCTCTAACTGACACTCCTCTACGACCGACACTCTGCTGGTTTACCGGAACCAATGCATGAAAAGCGTTCCCCGCCGGAGCATTATAGATGTTGGACGGGAGCGATGGAAAGATGGCCGTGGCCGTGCTGCAGATGTCCTGTTTGTATCGGGGCATGTTGGCGGTCAGAACCACCGGTATCAGGACGCTGATCCCCGGGCTGGTACCGGCGCACTTCCGAGCCTTCTCGCTGCGGAAGGAACCGGAGCTGGAGGAGAACCCGTTCTTCAGCAAGTACCGGGACAAGATCCAGAAGCTGCGCAGGTCAGCGGGCCACATCCGGAACTCCGTTAGGAAATGTGTTGTTTTAAAAGTCGTTTGCTTGTGGAGAAGTGTGCACATTATCTAGACTGGTGAAAAGGATATCAGAGGAATTCTGACGGGCTGCTGGTATATTCGGTTTATATTTGAAGTGTCAAGAAATGTTTCAGCTGTTTAATTTTAACATTTAACATTGATTCGTCCTCCAATTTCTTATTGTGTTTTTATGCTGCACTCAAATAAAAAAATTAATTCAACTTAAACAAATGTTTCTTGTATGCCGAACTTTTGACTCACAGGTCTGTGGGAGGATGGACTTAAAGCTGTGCCCTCCCCTCTATTAGAAATACTATAATTGGACCCTTCCTTCACACCCCCACTTTACCAGTGGACTTCAGAGTGATACAGGGATTGTCATCACAGCTAAAACTAAATAAGAAGATAGTCTCAACAGATTGGAAACAGAAACTGTTTGCTTAATAAATAACTTTCATGGACTGTCACAAGAGTTTAAAAGCAGAAAGTCTCCTGGTGGTGTGTTTAAGGACATCAACAACAAAAACACCTGACTTTGCCTTCATGCTGCAGACAGAGAAATCACTGAATAATATCACAGGTCGACGTACACGGTGTTCTGAAATTAACGTAAATGAATAACTGTCTGGAAGATTGGAAAATGGTTTAGAAACTGATGTTTTTTTCTCTGAGCGGAGTCAGCAAACACGGCTTATAGTCAATGAGATAAAACTACTATAATGGTGCTTTATCGAGCTGATGCTTGGAAGTCACCAAGTGAAGTAGAAGCTTCAAAGGCAGGTTGAGATAATCCTAAAAACTGTAAATTACTGCTGCCTTTAACCACGTCACAGCGGAGTGGAGGTTGCTCTCTGTGTTTTGGGGTTTGACTGATTTGTCCGACTTGTTTTCAGCTCCAAACCACAGGAGTACAAAGCCCGGGTGGAGAAACGACACGAGGTCAAGAGCGAGGTGCTGGGACACTCGAAGCAGGCGGAGTTTGTTAAGCTGATGGAGCAGGAGGTGGAGTATTTCATTTATACAGCACAGTCACTTAAACACAACAGGTTAGAGCAGGTTTTACCTTTAAACTCTAACAGTGTGTGTTGAAGTCTCTGCAGTAGTTGGACGGAACAATACTCCTGTGTTTATTATCCACATAATGGAGAAGGACGATCGGTCACTGGTTTAATTTCTGATTTCTGGTATGAGTGTGACGTCGCCTTTTGTTGTGGGAATCTCTGCAGTTGGAGAAAAGGGACAAGTTGGCTGCCGGCGATGGAGCGTCAGGAGGTTTCACAAAGAACAAGGTGAGAGGGCGGAGGAGCAGTTCAATCAGCCTCCTCTTGCACAATATCGCTTTAACTTTTCTTCAAATGTGTTCTGTTTCTGTGGTTATATTCAGGGATTCTCCTATTGACTTTTTCCATTCATATAAATAGATTTAATTAAGTCTGATGTTTTTGAATCAGTTCATGGAACTCTTTAGTTTTCAGTTATTTTCAGTCTTATATCTGTTTTTATTTGGCTTTTCTAACGTAGGAAAGAGTCATGAATGTTGTCAGTGTGATGAAGATGATGACGATAAAGTGTGCACCTGTAACTGTGTACTGTGTTCTTCCTCAGACGCTCGACTCCATCCTCAACCTGGAGATGATGAGGGACAAGACGGGAGAGGAAATTGCAGAGGTGAGTCTGCGGGGGGGGGGGGGGCGGGGGGGGGGGGGGGGCCTGTGAGTGGCCCTCCTCACCGCCGCCCGCAGTCGCATCATTTCCTGCTGCCGTTGAAAAGCTTCTGAAACTAGTTTTCTGTTTTTGACCTCTTGTGTTCTTCTCTCAGCTTTGGATGAAATATTACTCGGCCAAGGACACAATCAGCGCCGTCATCCCGGTGAGTTTAACGCCAGAGAACATGCTGAGTCAGCGTTTCATGTTCTGCCATTTACGTCTCCTCATCTTTTTGAAATGAACAAAATTGTGTTATCGCCTTGAACAATAACAGAAGTCCAGTGTTGTTTTTGTCTCTTTACATATCATACAGTTTTAAATGTGTGGTGGACAGTTGCAGCCCCAAATATAACATTATTGTTTGACTGTGACGCTTATTATTTTTCCTGGACTCCCTACTTCAAAATGAATCATGCCCATTCCCTCCTCCACGTGAAGCTTATAAATAGAAACTGACAGTTTTATGAATCCAACAAGGATGAACAGTGTTCACATTGGCACTGTGGCTAGTAATGATCTTATAACCTCCTCTCTTACATTGCAGACTCAGATCTACGAGGTGATTTTCAACAGATCACAGTCCTGCCAGATGGTAAGATCTCTGCTGCTCGACCCTCAAACATGTTGATGAGAAGCTGCAGAAACTAAACTTGAGTAAAACCAGTGCTTCATTTTGTGTTCAGGGTTGGGCTGAAATGGTTGTAAAGTACCCGATTATTTATATATATATTATTTTTTCTGCTTCCAAGCAACCAGCCAGAATATGCATCAAATTTTCCCTCATTATTTTCTTCATCTCATCACCACGGTAACCTCTCTCCCTCTCTCTCTTTGTTTCTATCAGTTCCTCTACGCTTTGCCTCAGCAGGAGGGTTATGAGTTCTTCTATGGTCAGTGGTCCGGACACGAGCTCCACTTCACCTCCCTCATCAACGTCCAGGTAAACCCACTTCACGGGCCTCTTCTCTTGCTCCCCGGGGAGTCTGACAGCACCGCCTTCACGTTCAGGTCGCCCTGAAGGTCAAACAGTCAGCCAGTTGGCCATTAAAACAGTCGCTCAGTGAAAGTTCTGTGGATTGTGGGTGTGAACACAATGTTATCTGGATGCGTTAATTACAGTTTTTCCTCTTCCTGTTGGTGTCCAGATGCTGGGCGAGAACGCTCCCAGTCAGCTGATCCTCTACCACTACCCAGACCTGAAGGAGGAGAAGGGCGTGGTCCTCATGACAGCAGAGATGGACCCCAAGTTCATAGTAAGTCCTCTACCTGGCTGCAGTCTGCACACACTGTTAACAAATAACACACACTATATGGCCAAAAGTATTTGGACATGTAATGTTCACCCGTCCACATACTATTGGCCATGGAGTGTATTCAGACCTGGACAACAAGCACTGGCTGTATGTTAAACCGTCTGCCCCTCCTCTGCCCAGACCGTCCACCAGGCCCAGTGCTTGGCCAATCAGGTGCAGCTGTTCTACGGCACGCAGAGGCAGGAGACGTACCGATTGGTGGAGACCTTCAACCACTCCCCTGCAGAGTTCAAACACATGTCGGTGATAGCGGAGCTGGAACAGAGCGGCCTGGGGACCGGGGTCGCCACCGGAGGATCGTAGGGAGACAGACTTGAAAGTCGCCAACCAGCTCCCCTGCAGTCGGATTCCCACAAACTGTTGGTCTTTATTTAAAGTGGCAAAGAGATACGTGCTCCTTTGCTCGGCACTTTCCTTTTACTGGATATAAAGTTTGCAGCAGCGGCTGTGATTTTGGCAAAAGAATTTAAAGGAGCATTAGTAAATTCTCATGAACTCTGTCTGGGACATGATCATCCATCCCGTGATGCTACACGTCCTTTCATCGTCCAAACATTTACAACCACAGGAGAATAATGTGGTATTGATCACTTCTGTTAACACATCCCACTGTACCCTACCCTCCATATTAGACTGGACCAGAAGGACTTTGTTAGCCCTGAAAACCCACATGACGTTTAATAAATCATCCTCAAAAGCCCAAATCTGTAAATGTGACTGCTTTCATGCTGAAATATTCCTAATAATTATTCTGCCTTTCTGCCAGACCTTTGTCCACATCAGCACACACTGGGTGTTGGGCATAAAAGGAATAAAACGGCCCCTAAAAGTAGAGTTACTTTTCTTCTGAAATATAGGACAGGTGTTGATTTCGTCCCTAAACTGTGTGAATGGACCGTGTTATCTGTTGTAAAACTGTCAGACAAAATAAATATCTATACAGGTGGCACAGTTTTGTGCTCATTTGGTGCACGGTAGCTCTCACACTGGCCTGTGAGTTTATACTGTACAGGTTGAGTTTGCCACAGAATGTTGTAGAGACAGCCGGCCTTTTAAAGGCAGTGTCTTACTGATGCTACCACTGGGGGGCATCAAAGTCATATATCTTCAAATTCTACAGACAGTGGCTTCAAGATTGGTTTTCAGCCTGCTGCTGTGACTCATAACTTTGAGGGTCTGACACTTTGATGTGCCTTGATGAGGATGTCATGGGTGCTTGCTGAGCTGAGAAGCAACCCTCCTCTGGAGCTGACACATGAGAACGTCACCCTGAAGGTACGTATACAGTCAACCACATTATACGGGATCAGTATATGACAAGACGCCAGAGAGACTTACACTGGGTGAGATTTCTGTAGATCTGTGTAGGTCAGCTTCTGTTGTTTTTCCCCCCTAGTGGTGATAAATCCATTTCTACAGCTCTAAGTAACATTGCATTGAAGACACTTCTTACTGGTGGAGACTAAATGAAGGTGGGTGAACAGTAATCTCTAAAATCAGACATCCTCTAAATATCCTGAAATATCAACTAACTACAACTAGTAACCCAAAAACTAAAAAGTTGTCTAAAATAACATCTGGATAAATGTGATTTCAAATTGCGGATTAATAGATGATTTGGTAGAATTAAAATAAGATAATCTAATTCTGTTTGTGTGCAATAGGTGTCAATGAATGCAGACAGGAGTCTTCTCTGCACATACTATATGTACATACTATAAAGGAGGTAGTTCTTAGTGAGGGGGTAGAGTGACCTGGACTCGCCACGGCGTGTCAACAACATTCAAACATGAAGCTGATTATAGGTCATTCACTTTTATTGTATTCATACATGAAAAAATACTGTGCAAATCCCCAAACGCAGTCATTAAGGGATGGTCAGATATTCAGTCAACACAAAGAAGGAAAAAGTCTTCCTCTTGACAACATTTACTCTCACACACACACTCACACATACACACACAGTACAGAGAGCTGAAGAGGGCATTAGGAAGGATCTGACCAGTTTTTCTGTTCTTTGAAATCAGAAATTAATTTCATGATTGAGAATAAAAAGCTCATACTGCTTTGCAATCGTGGCATGAAACTAACATTTTTTCCCATGAAGACAGGAAACCAAAATAAAAACATCACAGAACGATTATGTTGCAGTCATGTGAAAACAAAACCATTATAAATAATTGTGTTTGTCCCCTCTGGCTTTCCATACTCTTGACTATGGACCACCATGGCACAAACATCGTACAGATAAAAACACACAGCATTCATTTTAGCTGGACCAAACGATAATGAGCTACAATTCTCACAATTCTAGTTGTATCAAAATCTTACAAAAAGGTTCAAACAATGTTAATTAAAGGAAACATTTTCTATCTTCTATCTAACGTTGGCTGACTGTAACATACAGTACAGTGGCTGGACTCAACAATACAACAGGTATAAGACCAAACAAAACTCACATTCATTTCAAATACACACAACCTCTCAATGTGTTCATTATTGAAACATCGGGTCACATCTACATTATTATACAGATTTGTCCTTTCCAATATTCACAGTGCGTTAAAAATACCCAAACTACAAAACCTCTGAAGCGCTTTCAATCATCTAAAAATGACAAAACTAAACACAAAGAACACTGATGTGAC